ACTAGAAAATATTCTTAGCCTAACATTCATTTGGTCTTGATTTTCCCATATAAATGGATAAATTTTCTTTGCTGAAACATGCTGCAGGCAATCATCTCAACTGCATTTTACTGAACAGCCGCCTGGGTGCGGCTCCACATCGAACCCGTATTGGAGTTAATAAGTGCCGTCTGAAGACAAGGTAGCTTTTCATCGTTTCCGTTTATGCCCTTACTGTTGTAGTTTCCACTGACCATACGGATAATCTGCTGCTCCCACTGAAACTGACCGGTCGACCTTACAGATTAGAAGACAGCCCTCAGGCGAAAACTGCATTGCGCATCCGGCAAGCAGTATAAGCAAATCAAATCATGGGGTCGAATTAACAGTTAATGAGGGAATGGCCTGGCGCGCTTCAAGGTAGATCGTCCTCATTGGCAGCGTTCAAGGTGAAGCGTCATCGTTAGCCGGCTGTTATTGGTTGGCCAATAAGCTTTGGCCTGCGTCATGGTCAACTGTTCCGGCCGCTAGGAAAGGGATGTCTGTGTAGCCGGTTCTCGGGCGTCACGGCAACACGTAGGTAAAAGGTCGATCGGTTTTGCTTCCTGTTATCCTTACCCTCCTATTCCTCTCCGGCACTTTTCCTTGCCCCTTACGTGCTTCCCTTACATTGGCCTCTTACTAGGCGGTTGAGCATCCAGTCGTTTACGAGGTACTTATTTTGTTGCAGTTCTAGGGCAGAGCTTGGAACACCGGAGCAGAGGAATATTACCTATTTAGCGACCGTGTCAATTCACGATGCTTGATCGTAACTCTCGAGGCTATCGTAATACTTGTGGTTGAATCTCCGGAGCCTAATATACCGCCATCAATGCCTCTTGCAGGTACATAAGTTGATGTCGGTATGGGCGCTGAGGACAGCGCCTGTTAAGAGGGGGAGGGGGGAAAACGTAGCCGGTCCGCGAGCCCCACGGAAACACGGTAACAGGCCGATCGGTTTTCCTTCCTGTTATTCTTAACCTCCTATTCCTCTCCTGTACTTTTCCTTCTCCCTTACGTGCTTCCCTTACATCGGTCTCCTACTAGGCGTTTGAGCATACAGCCGTCTATGAGGTATTCATTTTGTGTTGCAGCTCTAGGGGGCTCTTACGGCCCGTCATACTATTTGGACACGGAAGAGCTTGGAACGCCTGACCGGAAGAATATTACACCTGCCCACTTAACACCTACTGACTGCAATTCGATGGCTATCAAGGACGATTTTTATCGATAGCTCTCATCCCTTCGCACGGCGAAGTGTATGGACATAGTTATTATTGTTTGTGACATGGATGCCCAAGTGGATCGCATTTCGCACGTTGAACAACACATGGAAGGCCGCTTTGGGATCGATGCAGGGCCGAACAGACAATGGTGATCTATTCCTGCAACCATGCGCTGACTGATTTGGCGGCATCCGGTTTCGGATTTGCCTGTCATTGTGGCCAGCCACGGGACGCCTGCGCCTACAGAGGGACCATGGATGGCTTGCGCTGCACCACCCACAGCTCCATCCACACACCCCATATCCAATATAAACCCGAAGGAATAAGACCGGAATGCATGCGGATGGGAGCCACGTTTCATCAACGGAGCCGGCCCACACTCCTTCACAGGCAAACACAAGCACGCTGTATTTGGGGAATCAACCGCACACAAGGCGGTGGCTGGATCGTAGTCAGCTCCACACTGACTGCATGGAACCACTCTTCGAGCCTAGCACGAATACAAGGACCGTACACCCCATCCCCTCCAGCAACGACCAACTGTCTCCTGGAGCCAGATGGACGAGGTAGTGGGTAACAGACAGGTAGGCACCTTGTCAACATGCACATCAAGCGCAGACACACCTGGGATGTCAAACAACAGCCAATCATTCGAAATACCGATATCGAATAAAGTAAACGTATATGACGAGATAAATGCTCGCTATATGAGCATATAGAAAAATTGGTTATAAGTGAATCCGTGATAAGTACAAAAAGCCCGAAAGTTATTTAAAAAACATCACGCGGTAAAATTACGCAATTTTACCACAATTTGCATGGGCGACGTGTGCAAATTGGGAGAAGATTTTCAAGTACGCAGAACAAACCAAATAAAATATAATGAATTTTATCCACATTAGAAAGGCCTAGTTTAAGTGTAAGTTGGTTTAGCCAAACTTCGGTGAAGAAGCATCATGAATGCACCATCAGCCTCAGCATGGGGCACCATGCTGACTACAATCGTCATAATAGCAGCACTGCTTTTCAGTACCAAAGTACACACCGCGTCACCTGGCGCCCACCGAATTCCTCGATGACTGTGACCCACATCTATATATTGTTATCAGATAGAGTTGGCACACATCAGTCTAAGACTGTGGGGTAATCTCAGTATGTGCCCGGATTCCGACTATGCATTAATGCGTGCATGCCGGGCGCTCAATTTCCGCATCAAAGCGCCTAAGCTGCTTATCAGTACTATGCTCTCACAGTCCGCAGTTCAACAATATCATAACGAACTGGCCAACTAATAGTGATTAAAGAGGTTAGTGAAATGACGACTGAGGAGTCATCCTTGATTCCATGCAATCATTTCCCTTGATTGACAGAAATATCGATCGGTTTCATTGGTCCTATTTTAGACTGTGATCTAACCAATAGTACCCCCAGATTAAGCTAGCATCCTGTGTTTTCTCAATCTTCCGCATAACTGCCTGAAAAGAAGTTGAAGAAAAGTGATATCTTCGCAGTCCTTCTTCTAAAGTCCTAGAATTGACCGGAACCAGTGGTGACTGTCAAAAGCCCGTGAGATGGAGAAAACCAGTGCTATTTGGAGTGAGCCGAGTGTTATGCAAACTCATCTGGAACACGGGTCAGAGAAAGCGAGATGACAGCTGAGAAAGATGGACAGTTGCTCCATTCTCAGTCTTGTCTACTAGCCCATTAGGCAAAACATTTTGAAGAGCAATTCAACAGGCCTGGGGCGGTAGCCGCTTGCCGAATCATCTGAACCGACGTGAGATGCTGATGTCACACCTCCCACTGTCAGAGACTCAACAGCTCGCCATGTTAAAAGGAAACAGGATGCTTCGACCAGACGACTTTCTTCTGTGCTCTTTTGGTGCATTCAGTAAGACGATTACCAACTGCCGCGCCTACCTTCCAGAAGAGTCAGCGTACTTTGTGCGAAAAACATCGAGGTATTAGCCTTGTTTCAAATGCCTCCAAACGTCTTGCAGGTATCTGAGTTCACTTATTCGCCGAGCTTCGGAATTGGGATGAAAACGTTTCATCACCAAGCGTGATGACTTCGTCTTGCAGGTATAATTCGTTGACGACTTAGTGGTCCTCGGGAGACCCGAAGCATTGAAAACTAAGTGGCTTCGGCCGTGATGGTGGTTGTAACGACCACAAATCTACTCTTCGACAAGTCGTACAGAAGAGACACGCATACATACGACCGACTATGGTGGTTTTCATTGACTTGAATACCGCTATCAACTCTGTTGACAGCGCCAGCTTGTGACGCTGCCTATCCGTGAAGGGCGTGCCAGCCAAATTTCTTTGCACTATGCAGTCTGTATCATGACTCCTGAGGCCGTGTAAGCGTCTAGGGGAAATTATCTCCTGAGTTTCCAACGACTGGTGCAACTCGCCAGGGCTGTCTTATATCTCCTTTCATCTTCAAATTGGTGAAGGAAATAAGTATGAATAACTTAGTTCTTTCAGACTCTATCAGAGTGGAAATGCTACCAGGTGACCGACTGACAAAGCAGGAGTAAACGCACGTCATATCTCTTTTTGGATACGACGCAATGGCTATGCAAACACCGCTGGATAGACTGGTGCGCGGGGCTGCACGTCTCGGCATATGCTTTGCACTTTCAAGGTGCGATGTACCGTTGCAGGACGGGATCGACACACTTCCGGTCCTAGCTATCACCGAACAGCCACTGGAAATGGTGGATCGGTTCACTTACCTTTGCAGCTGTCACTTCTTGTAGTCACATCGCTCAGGTGGTTAGTTCGCGTATCAGAAGGCCCGTTTGGCATATTAAAGGCTGAACCATCTATGGAGATGGCGGGATATCAGCCTGTGAGTGAAAAGTAAGGCTTCCAACGCTGCGATAAGGCCGGTCTTAGTGTATGGATCAGAGACCTGGCCAGTTCGCGGCGAAGACATAAAGCCTGACCGTGTTTGACCAACGTTGCCTGCGAAGAATTAACGTCTCTATGAAAGTTCCTGGCAGGCCACAGAATATGATTTGCAGAACATAAAGTTATTCGATCGTATTAAACCACTGTCCATTATTCACTGATTCACAAAGCGATAATGGGGGGGGGGCTAGATTGGTCGAACTGAAACCTATTTTTTACAACAGATTAGCGGTTTGAGAATGAACTCAGACCAATGACAATTCGAGTCGATAGCTGGAACTGGGGTGACATCGACTTTCGTGGCAATGACGGATCGCGTGGATTGTCTACACTTTTTTGCGGATATACTTTTGACAGTAAAGTAACGCAAGAGTGTCGCACGATTTAATTCCGGAAAAGTGCTTCGCATATTTTCAAGTTTGTGTTTGGATGCACGGTCTGGTCACATTTCTACTTCGACTGCACTACATTCACGATGATAAATATACACGCGTACTTGTAAACATGCAGAAATTATTCGAGTATTAAATTGTGCGGCACTCCTGCCGAACATTTTCTCAAGAATGAGTTGCTTCGATAGGCTTTTGAGCTGAATACTCTGCATGTTGATCTTAATCATACTGCTGCCAAAGTTCAGGAGTGAAGGCACTCGTGTAGATCGCCGTCCGTTGCCGGGAATTTGTTCTCCTGTAGCTTCTTGTTGGGTGTTATACTTGTTGAATCACATATGCTGCGATCTGGCCACAGCTATGAGCATTAAATCGCGGAATTGTTAGTAGATCACTTACGTGGTCGTGGTATCAGTTATAATGAGCAGGTTCATTGGAGTGACAGGGATTTCTGAGAATTATTTATTGAATATCCAATGAGCTGAGTACACATGTTTCAATAAGTATGACTGGAGGACAGTGGCTCAGTGTGATAAAAACAAAGTGGGGGAATCAGTTTTATTCCTTGCGAGTTGAAGAACCCGGGATACATCAGTGTCGTAAAAGTGAAAAACAGCAGATGTCATCAAAAAGTACACTCAATATCATGAGGTATCCATTCCCTCTTCTTTCGGATCAGGCAAATCCCGAATTACCCGGGTAGTAACGACATCGAACTCCACCTTATGGGAGGTTTGAGAGAGGACAGAAGTCTCACCCGGCTGCGGAACGTACTTCGCGGACCTAAATGGGTAAAAGAAGGATGAGTAACATTGTAGAAAGCGAACACTGCACACATATGCAACAAAACATTTATCACAACCAGGATTACAGTGAAACTGAACAAATGTTCTTCAGTTCAGTTGTGATGGAGTTATCCGAACTGGGCAACTTGATTACAAACGTTTCGTCACCATTCGAGGTGGCATCTTCAGTGCAGGATTGATAACAGTCAGGTAGCAGAAGCTGGTAGAAAGCTTTCTACATATGGAGACCCCGCAAAATTTTCTTCAACTGTGCGACACTCATCAGTGCGACCTGTCTTTTATCCGGTAACCGTGGTCTCTTAGCTTGCCAATGTAACATGACCTCATAATAACCGCAGATTTTTTTCACGAAAGCCTCCATGAGTTTGTGTGCATGCTTGTCACTCAAAGGTATGACCAATCGAGGACTGTCAATTCCGTTTCATACATTTGTTCATATAACTGGTGTACGTCGGTGTTTCCGCAGCAGTCCACTAAAACTGATGTGGAATGATCTTCCGTAAAGTCGGACAAGTTACTTGGACCCAACCACTATCCATCCCATTGGAGTTCCAGCAGCATAGAGACCATCAGTACTCACGTGACTGATCCGAAGCCCAATGCAGGAATAAGTTATCATTTTGAATTAAAGGCTTTACCTCCCCTTTCGGTTCTGGCAATCGTGTATCGGATAAGTGAAGCCATCTTAGAAATCATTTCTTCTTTTACCGGTACCAAGTGTTTCAGCGAGACAACTGACTGACTATGACAGGCTTCACAACAAAGTTTCGGATGTTAAGTCAATGCAAAAAAGGACCTCATAAGAAAGACAAATCTGTAAGTTCCATCATTTGATGTCTGTAAGTAGCAAGGTCACCGGTCCAACTAGCAGACTTAAATGTAGCACCAGATAAATTGTTGAGTGGGGCGGAGCGTAGATAAGAGCAGAAGTTATAACTAGTGTTGATGCCGCTTTAACGAAGTTACTCGCGTTAAAGACTGAGCATATTCGTGCAAAACTTGCAGACATTATCAAATTTCAACAGCCGAGGAGGAACAGAGGAAAGCGTCGCATTAACTGCCCTAAAGGTAGATCCGAGCATTGTTATCACAAAAGCCGATAAAGGCAAAACGACAGTAATAATGGACACATCGGATCACTTAGATAAATGGAGGAACACCTGGTGACGGGACCGTATAAGATGATCGACAATAAGACTGTCACTTCCTTTGTAAATAAGACAGAGGTTGGTAATTACTTAAGGAATGTAGAGAGGAGTATCTAGGACCGAGAAAATGGTAGAACATATGCCCATAATCAGTCCTCCCATCGAGAGTGTATGGTTTACCGAAGATACATAATTCTGATGTACCTATTCGACGTATTGTAGATGGCAAAGGTTCCCCCATGCATGAACTAACTAAATATTTGGCTATCCTATTACAACCGTTGACAGGGCTAGCGAATACGTTCGTAACGGACCCTTAAGACTTCACGCAAAAGGTGTCAGGTGGAATGACTGCCAGTTTCGACGTTAGTGTGCTTTTAAACAACGTGCCAATATGCGAAACGCCGTCTAAATGGGGATAACAACTTGTTAGTTAGGATGAATCTTACAGTAGAGCAGCAGTTCTCAACTTTTCTGAGGCTGCTACCCCCAAAGCGGGCTTACTACAAACATATATCCACAGAACATATTTTAGTTTGAAAGAAATCACCTTTTGACTATTGTGTCTTTTGCCCGAATTACGGAAAATGGATACTATCTCTAATTACTTTCGATCACCCGGATAAAAAATACATCCATTTTGGAGCAATTTGTTACTAAATCAAGAGGTGATGTACGTGAAGAAGACGGCTGATATTGCTTAATTTTAACAGTTTTTGGTACATTTGGTGCCGTTCCGGCTGATGCACATCGTGAGTCGTGCTCCAAGTCCATTCGTCTCCTTGTATCCCTATGTGATCCCTGATCAAACAGTAACAGATATCATTGGCTTCTCATTTGTTTCAACCATCCCTTCCATACCCAGCACCACTCCATATTGATACGTCCTGAACACTAATCGCCTGTTTTGTCCCTTCTACCTGGTAAACATTTGCTCACTCCTTTACCTGGTCGGCTAACGCACGGTCCCAACTTAGTGTTCACTCAGCTCTGTAATTCGACTCGATGCACAAATAGCTAACTGAAAAGAACTAAGATCGACGAGCAAGCCGATAGAGGCGAAATCTAGCTGTGTTGCTTTGCAAGCTTGTAATTGTTTGTAAGATTGCAAAATTTATTGCCGGAAATTACCTAATTCGCTAATCACTCACTAATGATTAGTCACTAATGGCTAGGTGGTTAGTGACCGTTCCGTGCACTACTTGGAGTGACGCCATGATCTGTAATGCGATTGTCCTTCTATCTACATCCCATTCGTCGCGATTATCATCCCAGTTCGCTATAACTGTTATATCAATCTTCGACTGGTTCACTTGGCATGAAGAAGCTTTTGTGTCAAAAGCGAAACGTTGCCCACAAACTATACCAACCAGTTGATGTCAAAACTTTCTGAAATCATGAGTCCTCGATCAGTTCTAAGCATTATTCAAGATGTTCGGCAGTAGATATGTTATTTGAATTGATGCTTCGCTTTCGTACAACCCCAATGATCTAAAGGATGATGAATAATGAGAGGGGAAAGCAGGGTCCAGCATGAAACTTAAACACTTTAAGCAAATATTCAGTGCTGAAGTGCCTGTAAAAGCCAAAACAGTACTTTGATTTCTCCCCCAAACTGGACCGCGTACTTAAAGAAATGGTACCACTGTTCCAAAACCTTTCGCTTATTTCCATACAGAAATTTACAAGTGTGTTTTGTACATCTGCATTATAAGACAATTAACGTTTATACTTCGCACCAGTAGCTTATCCTTTACTCTTCAAGGTCGAATATTACACGTCAGACTGCCGATTAGCGAACTGCGACGCTGCAACATTTCCGCAAATCCTCTTGTGACTGCCGTCATACAGCACGGTTCCATACCTATTCGCAATTGGTCTGCTGTTTTTGGTTTGAATTACAGAACCACGGCAACAAAAATATGCGTTTCATTTCTTCTGCGCAGGCCATACGTAAAGTTCAGGTTTCCTAGTCTACATTTTTCGTTCCCGTTTCGTGCGATTCACTTAGCCTATGTTTCGTATCGTCGTTACATAGTTGAATAGTGCAATAATATCTGTCTCAGATTTCGATGCTAACGACTGTTATGCTTCTGTTGAAATTGCTGATATTGAGAAGCATCCGAATGCCGAGACCCGAATGAGGATGCTGGAGTCGGCCTTGACTAATGTGCGTTTGCAGGCTAAGCCGTATGAAGACGATGGCTGTTTTTGGCACGATGCTATGTCGGATCGGCTGGTTAGCAAACGAACAAATTATTTGCCGATGACTTGTGGGTTCTTTCTTCTGGTGTTGCTCTTCGTTCATCTTGGTCAAAGCCAGTAAACTATAGCTTTCGCGTGTTGTCCGCAGGACGACTAGATGATCAACTGGCACCCGTAGATTCTACGGTTGGAGACCATGAAGAAGACCACTAGAATTCACAAAGTGACAGCAAAGGTTTTCCCGGACAGAACTCAAAAGTTTCGGTCCCATCATGACGTCCTGTCTCTTTAGGCAGGAGCAGATCACACTTGATGGTGACTTGGCTCGTATTTGGATCGTGATGCGATGCTTTGAAGCCAACATGACCCGAACAATCTACGATCCGACTTTCATATCTGAGATATAATGCTGCTGCCACCGAAAGCTGTTAGATCCTCGAAGCTATTGAAGGTTTCGAAGAGGCAATGAGTATTATGCGCAAGCGCTTCGGTAGACCTCTCATGATAGTCAGGACCCGTATACCAACGCGTTAACTGGTGGACTTAACATGAAGCCTGATGATTTTTCCGCCTTCACTAGTTTAGAGGTGGAATTGCGGTCCTGTTACTTAACACTGAAACAGTTGGGATACGAAGCTACTCTGGATATGCGTTGTGATTACTCAACCATTTGCAGCAATTCAAGCGGGTCGAGCATGCCGCTGGTTACATCTAGACAGTAAGAGAGCTGAATTTTATTGATTTAATGGAGTTGGTGGATGAAACGACCGACATCGTCAACACTTAAATGTCTTTTACCCCATGTCCTTTAGGATAGAAGTAGTGTCTTAAATCCCCATGGCGATACCGCTCGCTCCTAAGATGCAACATCCGTAGAACGGCCTCCCCCCAAATGCAGTTCCTGTGAAAGACATCGTTATTTAGAGTAATGTGATGAATTCCGAAAACTTAGCGTCTAGAATTCGGTTGTTTTCAGCGACTGGGCCAACTGTGTCTGAAACCGAACCATGACTTACACAGCTGTACGTCAAGAAAGTATTGTGGATTAAGTAACTGTAGGCGACTTCACCCGCTGCTACATGCTAATAAGGGCAAGAAAAATCCTGGGGTTAGTTCTGGTCTCTGGTCCTGCTGACACCGTTCGGACGCTAGTCTTGGTGGATAACGAGTCAGACACATCACTGACTGGCTCCCATTTGTTTCGAAACATCGGAGTGCAAAGGTACATGAAGACACCGAACGAACATAGCTTGCGTCGCTGGCCACTCTCAAGTAAAGTAGTAATCGGTTCGTGCAACTGTTCAATCGATAGATGGTGGTCAGGCCGTCCGGTTAGACTCTGTCGGGTCAGTCAGTTGTCTCTCTGAAACACTTGGGACGGGTAAAACAAGAAATGATTTCTAAGATGGCTTCACTTATCCGATGCACGATTGCCAGAACCGAAAGGGGAGATAAAGCCTTTAATTCAAAATGATAACTCATTCCTGCACTGGACTTTGGATCAGTCACGTGAGTACTGATGGTCTCTATGCTGTTAGAATTCCATTGGGTTGGATAGTGTTGGGTCCAAGTAACTTGTCCGACTTTACGGAAGATCATTCCACATCAGTTGTAGTGGACTGTT